CGCTCTGCCGGGACGCGCGAGTTCGCCGGGCGAATCCGCGCCCTGCCCGGAAGCCCCCCGGGCTGCAGTAGGAATTGGGGAGCCAGCGGTGCAGACTTAAGGGGAAACCTTGAGCCCTGGGGGATTTTCTTGGAGGACAACGGATCTGTCTATACTGTACCACAAGTTTTAGGGGTACGGCTTGGAGACCGTAAGTGGCAAAGGTGGGTGTGGGTGGGAGGGAACTGGGATGGGAATTGGCTCAGAACCGGGGACCCACTGGGAAAGAACCAGGCTTGCCGGAGGTGAGAGAATTTTGCTGTTTACTGTGCACTTTTATGGTCCAGGTTTTGTCTGGCTTGGGGATATGAAGATGAACTGGACTCTAAGAAATCTTCAAGAAGCACATCAAAGAGAGATAGTAGTTACATGGTGACAGACTGAACTACAGGTGCAGATAATGTGGTAGCGTAAAATAAGTTACTGAGGTTTCACAGGATACTTTGCCATTTAGTGGTTGTACAGGTAGATCGAACTTTTTTTTTGCCCACTCTAGCCTCAAACTTGGAATCTTCCTATCTCAGTCTCCAAAGTTGCTGGGATCACATGTATGCGACATCACACCCACTGCAAGTCTGACTCTTAACTAGCTGTTTTTGAGAAATCATGTGGTAGTGTTTTGGAAGCCTGGAAGCACAGTGGCAGTGTAAAGGGCTATGTGAATCAATTTATGGAAATGTTTAATATTTACATCTAGTCATAGGAGTTATATGCAGTTAACAAATATTGAGCTCCTATTGATGTGCAGAGGACATCATGATGTGCAGCCCCTTCCCACAGATCTACATCCCTAACCCTTTTTTATATTTTTATTGTGAGACAGGAAGGATCTCACTAAGTCAGTAAGCCTACGTGGGACTCGAACTTGGAATCCTCCTGCCTTAGCTTTCTCTAAGTGTGGAGATTATAGGCCTGCGCCACCTCAGCTCTATTTTGAGATGGATGTGATCTTGTGTGTGATGGCTCTTGCAAACATTTTAGTCTCTGATTGGGTGGGTAGAGGTGGAGTGTAATCTGTAGTTTGACTTTTTTTTTTTTTTTTTTTTTTTTTTGGTACCGGGGATTGAACTTGGGTCCTTGCGCTTGCAAGGCAGGCCACCGAACCGCTGAGCTAAATCCCTGGCCCCATAGTTTGACTGTTAATGTTAATTACTACATCTTTTCTTGGTTCATAATTTATGAATTCTCATATACGTTTTAGTTTCCAAGTAATAATTCTGTCTTATTGTTTTCTGCAGTAATGGAACAAATCTTTTTAATGAGAACTTTGAAGTATATGTGAACTGTGGGGTTCAGTACAGTTCTTTCCTTTCAAGACTTTTAGCTGGGAATGGTATTGCAAATCTGTGATTCCAGCACTCTGGGAGACTGAGGCAGGCAAATCACAAGTTCAAGCCTATCCTGATCAAAATGTGAAGGCCTTAGGTTCAATCCCTAGTAAGGAGTGGTTGGGGGAGGGTAGACTTGTTTTTTTTTGAAGGTCCAAGCATTTAAGTTGTACTTTTTTTTTCAGTACTGTGGATTGAACCTAAGATCTTGTTCATGCTAAACAAAGTCTCTACTACTGAGCTGCATCCCCACCACAACCCTCTCTCTAAAAAAATTGAGACAAAGTCTCACTAAAGTGCCCAGGCTGGCCATGAACTTGAGATCTTCCTGCCTCATCCTCTGAGTAGTTGAGATTATACATGCTTGTTACAATGTGCAGTTTAAGGCATACATCTTGATTCTTATACAGGCAAATTGGAGAAAGTAGGTCTTTTCTCTTGCCCTCTTTAAAGTGTATTCAGAGTTTGAATGTACTCCAAAGTAGAATTTACTGTTTCTTAAGTCCTGTAACATTAGCTGATGGGGAAGATGTAAATCATCTTGTGGATAAAATTAAATTACCATATTATATTGTACTTGGAACAGGAAAATTTTAGAATGAATAAAATGTGACAAATTACTTGTAATAACTAAATTATCAGATCTGAGCTTGATTAATTTGATGCTTTGAATCATATGTTTTCCAAGATAACGTACACAAACCCTTGTGGGTGGGAATGCCTCTTGATTGATCATATTATTTCATTATTGCTCTCTACTATTTTTTTTTTACAAGAATAGTGGTGATTTAAGCAAACGAGAATTACTTGAAAGGGTATCAAGATTTTAGCATTGCTTTAAAGACGTGGAGAAAACTTGGCTTTGAAAATGATCAGGAACCAAGACAGAAGAGCACTGCAAGAGTAGTTGAGTGTGGGATTTGGAGAGTACTTTATATCCTTTCTGTTGCTTGGTAATAATGGATTCTGTAGCATGCCCCACTAGTACCATGGACACTGGACCTTGCTCCTGCTGCTTCTTGGGAAACTGTTTCTAGAAAGTTGTTCTCTCTACCATTTTTCCTTGTGATATTAGCTTCTGATTCAAAGTCCTTGGTGATTGTCTTGGATTGGCTGAGTTTAGGCCACTGCCTGAACCCCAGCTGCAAGGGAAGTTGTTCAGGTGAATATCTGGCCTTTTTGGCTTTAAGGTAGGAGACAAATATGGCCTTGAACCTGGAGCAGTCCTCCTACCTTAGCCTCTTGAGTGCTGGGATTACAAGAGTGTGCTACCATATAGGGCAAGAAATACTTATTATGTCTCAAAAAATGATTTTTATAAGGTTCTACCTGCTTTCTTTTGCCCTAGGGCTATTTTGATTAGCAATTTAATTCTGTGTATTTATGTTAATAGAGGAAGTTGAACCTGGTCCTTGACTGTTCTTGGTCTTTTCTTGTCATTCAGGCATATTTCCTTGTTTTTCATGTGATGAGTAGAAAATAAAATGAAGTATGTAAGTCAGAGAAAGATTAAATGACAATAAAATTGTGATCTGAAGTCATTTATATTGTCTTTCTGCTGTTGTACATATTTTTTAGTTGGGTGGACATATCTGAGACAAATGAATTGTGTGTATTTTCTCTTCCATCTGTTTTGGTAAGTGTAGCACATAAAATTTCACATATTTGTGGTCTCCTTACTCCTAGACACAGTGCCTTAAGTCTAACTTTGCATTTTTATTATATAGAATACACACAGATGTTAAATTTTGAATTTGTGAAAGGATTCATGGGGGAATTTTAAAGTCATTGTAAAGTATGTTTGTCTTTGATTTTCCAAAGTTCCAAGTTGCCTGCAGCTTCCATGTGAAGAGTTACTTCCAGCAAGCTCTAATGGTAGTTTTTCCTGTAGGGTACAGCAGGTATCCGGTATCATTCAGCATTAAGGCTGAGGATGAGGCATAGTACCTCCCAGGAGGAAAGATGATGACTTGGAAGTAGAAAATCCATCCCTTTCGGCCCTAGTAGATTATGGGAAGAAGGGGGAAAAAGAGAAAAGAGATTTTGAGAATTATATGTTCTGAATTTGCTTGCCTGGCCAAACTCCTAGGGTTTTAGGGGTTGTTGAATGCCATGAGGAGACAGTCGATAGTACACTTTGGCTCTGCACATTATTTGGAATCTTGAGAGGAAGCAGCTATCTGTGCAGCGTAATGCTGTGTTAGCATTGGGGGCTGTAGCACAGCAGCGGCAGAAGAAGTGGCTGGATAGAGGACTCTGTGGAGGCAGGGGATTTTGAAAAGCTAGCATAGTACTTTAAGGGAGATGGAGGAGCTTAGAGGGCTGGTGCAACAGCAAGCATGACAACGGACTATGTGAATACACATTCAAAGTCAGAACCATGGACACCAGGAATGATGAGATGGCACCAGGCCAGCCAGGGGACCTGATCACTTCCTTGCTGCAGATACCAGTGAGGTTCCAGAGAGAAACAACTACACACCTAAGGTCATCTTGCCACCTTTACTTTGGGGATGTCTCATATGACCTATGAGAAAAGTATACCCCAAAGCAGCCATAAAAACCAGTCCTGGGAAGGAGTGAATATTAATTGGAAAAGTTGAGTTATTGCTTGACAGATTTTAAGTTTTCTGGATGTTTAATAAAGTAGATGTCCATGAATATTGTTAGATTATAGAAAATGCAGCACCATGTTCAGAAAACAGATTAGGTCAGGTGTGGTACCCTATGCCTGTAATCCCAGCGTTTGGGAGGTTGAGGCTGGAGATTGCTGTAAGTTCGAGGCCAGCCTGGGCTACACAGTGAGTTGAAAGCTAGTCGGAACTATATAGTGAGTCCCTGTCTCAAAAAAACTGTACCCCTTCCCAAAAAAGACAGATAAGATCAATTTTAGGAAGTAAAGTAGCCATGTTTGAGTTGCTACGTATGTAAGTATGAACAGGCAGTAAAGGGAAATATAGGAACATTAGGTTGGAATCTGTCTTGGATGAGGACTTAAACTGGGGAGGAAATAGCTTCCTATCTTGGGTTAAGAAGAGGTGCCAGAGAGCACAACAGCAGTGCTGAATGAAAGGTTTGGGACAATTAGGGAAGTGGTTGCCAAGTGACTCAGTCTTGGAGAGGAGAAGGCTTGAAATAATCTGGGAGAGAAGAGTACATTGCCTAGTGAAATGTGGGATTGTTTTCAAGTACCGAGGGCCCACTTAAAACTTACTCATTTAAACTGCCTTGCCTAGCAGATCAATGCATCTCTCTCTCTCTCCCCCACCCCTCTCTTTCCCTTCCCCTTCCTTCCCTCCCTTCGTCCTTCCTTCCTTCCCCTCTCCCTTTCTCTCCCCTTGTCTCTTTCCCTTTTTCTTCTTTCCGTCCTCTCTCCCCTCCCCATCCTCCCTCCCCCTTCTTTCCAAAAGAGCAGCTACTTAGTTATGAAAATTGGTTTGACTCACAGTTAGCAGGTTGGTGTGATGCATGGTGAGAGAGGGAAAGAATTTGGAGCAGATAAGGAAGCGTGTAATCATAGACCATGGTTTCTAAGGTAGAGTGTGAGGTCATGTGTGAGGTAGGGTTATGGGTGG